CTTTTTTTTTTTCCAAGTCCTTAAATGATCCCAATTTACCCTCCACCATAACATCCCTCAGTTGAACCTCTTCTTTTTTTAAACCATCTACCTGCTATCTCTTCTCTACCTGGGGGAAAAAAAACTCTGTGTTTCTCAGTGGCATCAATATTGAGTTGAAGTCCCACTTCATACTTTTGTGCAGATTATCCCAAACCCTTAAGACATTTAAAATGTATATATTTACATTATCTTTTAAACCTCTATATTGTGTTGGCACCCACACCACTCTGCCTAGATTTGTTCCGCTGAGTTTATTTTCAATTCTCACCCAACTTTTCTTGTGGTTATATGTCCAGTCCAGTCTATAATTCTTGCCAATATTACTGCTTTATAGTATCTTCTAAAGTCTGGAATCCCCAATCCACCCTTCTCTTTATTCCTACTCAACAACTCATAGGATACTCTTGGTTTTTTATTCCTCCATATATATCTTATCATTTTCTTAATTACTTTAAAAAAGGCTTCTGGGAGTTTGATTGGGATCATTTGAAATCTATATAAGATTTTAGGTACAATTACCATTTTTACCAGATTTATTTGCCCTATCCATGTCGGGCTTCCTCCTTCTGATATTTTTAGTTCCTCTCTGATCTCATTTAGCAATGAAATATAGTTTAGTTTATATAAATGTTTATATGAAGCTGTAAGTTTTACTCCTAAGTATTTTATATCTCTATCCTTCCATATAAAGGGGAATTCCTTTTGTATCTTTTCTCTTTCAATTTTTAAAATATTTATGTTTAAAATCTCAGTTTTTTTTGGATTAATCTTTAAATTTGATAATTCCCCATATTCCCTCAATAGCTTCATTAGGTTTGGCAGTGTTATCCTGGGATTTCCTACATAGAACAGCAGGTCATCCGCAAAGGCAGCCACTTTATGTTCTATCATCTATCTGAATTCCCTTTACATCTCTATTCTGCTTATTGCTGACAACAAGAGTTCCAGTGACAGAAGATACAGCAATGGGGACAGTGGGCATCCCTGTCTCGTTCCATTTGACATCTCAATGGGTTTCGACTTCTCCCCATTCACCACAATAATTGCGGAGGGATATCTATACAACTTTCCTATCCACTCTCTCATTCTAGCCCTAATTCCCAGAGCTTCCAGGGTATCCATCATGAATCCCCGATCCACTCTATCAAATGCTTTCTCGGCATCAATCGAGAGTACCACGACCGGGTCTTTTCCCTTTCTACTTTTTTGGATAAGCATCAATGATCTTAACCCATTATCTTTGCCCTCCCCGGAACAAAACCAACCTGATCCCCATGTATCCATTCGGGCATTAACTCTTTCAATCTATTTGCTAAAACCTTTGCATATAACTTAGTATCAGTATTCAATAATGAGATAGGTCTATAACTCGAACATTGAGAGGCGTATTTTCCTTCCTTATGAATAAGTACCACATGAGCCTGTAACAATTTTCTTCTTACTTCCATCCCTCCTCCCAGAGCATTCATATATCTTCTGAGCTTTGGTATTAATATTTCGCTATATTTTTTATAGTATCTCACCGTGTAGCCATCTGGTCCTGGGCTTTTCCCTGACGCTGTATTTTTTAATGCTGTTTTTATTTCTTCCTGTGAAATTTCTGCATCTAGGGAATTCAGTTGTTCCTCACTTAATTTTGGTAACCCAGCCTTCTCCAGATATATCTTTCTTTTTTGGAAATAAATGTATATTGCAGAGGGAACTACCTCTTTTGTGTAGGAACTCTCAGATCTAGCTGGATATATGTAAATACTCCTACAAGGATTGGGGTGCATTCACAAATACACGTAACCTAGTCAACAATACTTATCCATCACACCATACCATAAGGGATTATTGTGATTGACCCCAAATGTATTCTGCAGCAGGAAAATAACCCCAAATGTACAGCTAATTTCATGAAGAACTATCTTCAGCGTAAAGGAGAACAAGGAGTCCTGGAAGTGATAGATTGGCTTTCACAGAGCCCTGATCTCAACATCATGGAGTATGTCAGAGATGAGAGACAGAAGGATTTGAGGAAGCCTACATCCACCAAAGATCTTTTATTAGTTCTCCACAATGTTTGGAACAACCTACCTGCCAAGTTCCTTCAAAAACTGTGTGTAAGTGTAACTAGAAGAACTGAAGAATTGATGCTGTTTTGAAGCATTTTTTATTTGGATTTCTCTTCTGTTCGTTTACTTTTTTTTTTTTTTACAAATTTTTTGTTAATTGATAAAAATAAACTATTAACACTTCTATTTCTGAAAGCTTTCTTAGTTTACAGCATTTTTTCACACCTGCTTAAAACTTTTCCACAGTACTGTATTTATAAATAAAATTATGATATAAGTAGTGTATCTTTATTTGGGCTGTTTCTTTTTGATGTGCAGGACAGGAAAATGGATATGAAATGTTCACAAGAAGGATACAAATGGCAGTAAAAACTTGACTGGGTTACAACCTTTTCTCGCTCTAGCCAGAACTAAAACAACATATGTTTTGACTGGAGACTTCAAGTACTCTCAAAATCTAAATAAAATACATAGTGAAAGGGTTAATCTTACATAACCATTTCATGCTTTCAAGTGCACCTGTGCCTTATTCCATTATCAAACAGTAACTTGATCTTGTTTTTGACATCTCTAATTATCAAGATTATCTTCTTACACTGAACTGTTCCCAGGCATATCACCTTTTCCATCCTCTTCAAAATTCTTTAACATGTTATGCATCAATGTACTAATACCAAAATGTGCTTTCAGTTGTGTTTCCTCGGTTGAAAGTTCAGACTCATGCTGACCACACAAGGAAAAATTCATATGACTAATGTGGCCATTTCTGGTAACAGTTAATATGTCAACTGTGTATTTCAAAAAGAAAGTCCTGTTTCTTGAAGTAATAAAGCTTAAAAATTTAGAATGGTTTGAATAAATGTAGAGGATTATGGTGGGGTTTGGCAAGTATATGTGGGTGAATGTCTTAAAGGTATCTTACTTAAATGTGCATAGACCACAAAGGATGTTTGACAAAGTTCCATATCATTTGGGAAAAGGTAGTGATGAATCACTTCACAGCCCTTTAGATAAAATATTTTCTCTTACCCATCGGTTTAACTGTTTCCCAAAACAGAGCATGCCCAGAATGAAGACTGTCATATTTGCTTTTGCCCTCAACCTGTCAAGCCATCAAATGGCTGATTTCATAACTGATGACATGTGCAGCACCATTGCAACTGCAGATCAAACAAAGGCAAATGTGGCTGCCTCCTTCGCTGAAAAGTATTGGAGAGTTTAGTTCAGCTTTAAAATGGAACTTTAGGCAACAAATAAAATGGGTGGACAGGCAGGATTTTTAATGCAGAAGAGACATGCATTGTCTCTTCTGCATTAAAGCTCCTTACCTGCCTGTCCGTCCCTGTAGATCATTGCACAAATTCGGCAATGCTGCACATGACGGAACTCCCATGCATGTGCAGAAGTGATGTCATCTCTGCTCAGTCAATGACAGTAGCTGGCAATTGAGACCCAAAAGCCGGCCGCCCAAAGAAGGCAGCAGCCGGCGGGGAGTTCCGCTTTAAAGTCCAAATGATCTCAAACCAAAAATTGGCAAAAGTGGTTGGTTTTAAAGTACATTGGAAAGGGGTATGCCTATTTCAGAAGTCCATCTAGTTCAACCAATAGAAAACCTCGATATACACATTTCTATAACCACAGTTGATCCAGAGGAAAGCAAAAAAAAAACAATAACACATTATCTAATTTACTGCATGGGGGAAAAAAATCTTCTTGATCCCCCAAGAGGCAATTTTATATTTCCTGAATTTGTAAATGTTAGTATCATGGTCTATTTTGTGCATTTAAGAATGCATCCAGCTCTTTTTTTTTTAAACGATCTACTGAGCGGCCCAGAACTAGTTCTTGAGAGAGTCTAATCAACATTTTCACAGCTCTTACTGTAAAGAAGCTTTTCAGTATATGGAGGTTAAATCTCTTTTCTTCCAGACATAAAGAGTACCTTCTTTTCCTTTGTAATGACCTGAAAGGAAATAATGCAACACCAAGTTCACTATGTGGACCATTTACCGTATTTTTCGCTCCATAAGACGCACTTTTTTCCCCCAAGAAAAGGGGGGAAAATGTCAGTGCGTCTTATGGAGCGAATATGGAGCGGTCGGTCCGGTATTTCCACTGCCGCCGTGTCAGAATACCGGGCCGGCCGCTCAGCTCTACAGCGGGACCTTATAGAGATGACTGCTGACCTTTGGGGAGGGAGGGGGAGCGGGTACCTGAATTTGACAGATACCCGCTCCCACTTCCGTGGAGTTGTTCTTTCATCTTACCCGTTCCTCTATCCAGCGGCGCGGTCTTCCCGGCTTCTGTAGTGTGGGCATGACAGCCGGGTGCCAAGTGCGCATGCGCAAGAAGCGGTGCTTTTTGTGAATGGTAAGGCGGCACCTGGGACACATGACAGATCCCAGAAGCCGCCGGACCAATCACAAAGCGCAAGTGCTTCTCGCTCATGCGCACTGGGCACCCGGCTGTCATGCCGAGCGCCATTACAGAAGACGGGAAGACAGCGCGCGGCTGGATAGAGGAACAGGTAAGATGAAAGAACAACTCCGCGGAAGTGGTAGCGGGTATCTGTCAAATTCAGGTACCCGCTCCCCCCCTCCCCAAAGGTCAGCAGTCATCCCCTGTACTATCCACAGTCTCTGGTCATCCCTGTGCTGTCCGCATTTCTCTGGTCATCCCTGTGCTGTTCGCAGTCTCTGGTCATCCCTGTGCTGTCCGCAGTCTCTGGTCATCCCTGTGCTGTCCGCAGTCTCTGGTCATCCCTGTGCTGTCCGCAGTCTCTGGTCATCCCTGTACTGTGTCCGCAGTCTCTGGTCATCCCCTGTACTGTGTCCGCAGTCTCTGGTCATCCCCTGTACTGTGTCCGCAGTCTCTGGTCATCCCCTGTACTGTGTCCGCAGTCTCTGGTCGTCTCCTGTACTGTGTCCGCAGTCTCTGGTCGTCTCCTGTACTGTGTCCGCAGTCTCTGGTCGTCTCCTGTACTGTGTCCGCAGTCTCTGGTCGTCTCCTGTACTGTGTCCGCAGTCTCTGGTCGTCTCCTGTACTGTGTCCGCAGTCTCTGGTCGTCTCCTGTACTGTGTCCGCAGTCTCTGGTCGTCTCCTGTACTGTGTCCGCAGTCTCTGGTCATCTCCTGTACTGTGTCCGCAGTCTCTGGTCATCTCCTGTACTGTGTCCGCAGTCTCTGGTCATCTCCTGTACTGTGTCCGCAGTCTCTGGTCATCTCCTGTACTGTGTCCGCAGTCTCTGGTCATCTCCTGTACTATCCGCAGTCCGCAGTCTCTGGTCAGTCTCTGGTCATCTGTGTACTATGTCTGCAGTCCATTAGTTCAGAATTTTTTTTTCCTGTTTTCTGCCTCTAAATCCTAGGTGCGTCTTATGGTCAGGTGCGTCTTATGGAGCGAAAAATACGGTATATATTTGTACATGGTGATCATATCCCCCTTAATCTCCTCTTCTCAAGAAAGAATAAATTCAGTTTTTCTAATCATTCCTCATAGCTGAGGTCCTCCATGCCTGTTATTAGTTTGGTTGCCCTTGACATATAAAAAAATCAGCGAGCGCTTAAATATGAAAGCAGCTATGCACTAAAAGGAAACCTCAAAACCTTCAGAAATATAATATATATATAAATATATAAATATAATCCTGATAAGTGTGAATTAAATATCATAAAAATATATCTATTTCCAGTTCGTAATAAATGTGAATAGAATAAAATCCTGATGTATATAGCTCATATGTCACATAAATAAATTTAAAGTCCGTAATCAAAATATGGATGAATAAAATCAAGATTAAGGCCCAAGGTGACACAATAATTCCCGGTAGTATATCAATCAGCAAGATTTGGTGGGTGGCGATAAATAGATAAAATGCGCACTCACTAGATGCGCAAAGGTATTACACAATATATTAATCAATGGAGGTCTGCCAGGAATCTCTCTTTAAGGTGGTACAGGAATCAGCCGAGGAAAGGTGAATATCATCAGTGTTGTAAGGTGGCGTTAAAACCGGAGGTACCCTTTAACCTCCCTGGCGGTATTCCCGAGTGTAGCTCGGGGTAAAGTTTCAGTACCACAAGCGGTAACCCCGAGCTACACTCGGGCTTACCATGCGGCGCTGCTCCGCAATCCCTCAATCACTTACCTTGTCCTGCGCTCCCGCGATGTCCCTCCTGCAGTGTCCCCGGCAATGTAATCTGGCGGATGCTGGCATCTCTCATCTGGGTTCCGTCCCCTGCGAGCGTCAGGTTGTACAGGAATGGAACGGCGGGAAATTTGAAAATGACAAAAAGTGACATTCACTAAAATCACTAAAATCACGTAGTATAACATTACTGTACCAAACCATTTCACATACATTTTGTCCCAAGTGCTTTGTCCTGTGCCCTGCCTGCATTTTTACTGTTCTTTCTGCCTGGAAACTGAAAAACGTCCATGGAGTCCAAAAAGCGTCCCTTTAGGTCAAAAGTGGTTTTAGACCAGCTAGAGAACAGCGATAGTAAATCAGAACCACTTGCAGAATTGAGTGATAATGATTCGCGGGGAAATTCGTCATCAGACACTGAAAACGATTTTGCGACTTTGCTCAGTGATGTGCAAACTTGGCGCTATATTTCAAATTTCAGTGTTTTTGGTTTGATTATATTATTGAATTAAATTTATTATTATTATATTATTATTTTTTATGATTATTTATTAAATTATAATTTATGATTTTGTGTTTCAAGTTTTATCCTACCCGGGATGTTTACTAGACTCTTGTTCGAACAGATTTCAGTGAGTTATTCCTAAAAATTACAGGCCTACAATAAAAAAAACATATTTCCATGCAAAAAAATGTACCGCTTTGAGCACAGAAATATGGACATAATCAGACCGCTAGGGAGGTTAAGGACGTCTTTGCAGCCTCTTCCAAACACAGGGATGGTCACCAAGGGGAGCTCTTTCTGGGTAGTTCTCTGTCCTCCACATTTTCTCTAAATAAGCTTTTTTTCTCTGAGCTCTTAATTCTTGACTTGTTCTTCTTTGTTGACATGTTTACTCCTTACCGACTCACGTTTTGTAGAATTAAGACATATTGTTTCTGTGGTTGGGCATGGTTCTTAATCTCCACACTTTGAATTCTGTGGGGCCCGCTAGTTCCCTCGGACTCATCCATTTTCTGCATTTTCTTCAGTTCACAAATACAGTGGCATCACTAGGGCCGGTGTCACCTGGTGTGGTAAAACATGGTGCCACCCCCCCCCCCCCCCAAACTGGCCCCTGTAAATGATGCAGTCTGTGCCAGCGCGCCCATCTGTGCACTGTCATGGATAGGGGTGACACCATCATGGTTAGATACACTTTCTACTTGATGGTGTCACCCAGGGCTGCCATTAGAAGTCACAGGGCCCCATACAGCCTTCCTGACAGCCCCCTTCCTATAATTTAAAAAAACAAATTTTCTACTTTAAAAACGTATTTTTAATGGGGAACCAGGTGTGGACAGCACAGGGAGGGGGGATCAGTGCACCGGAAAGGATGGACAATTACAGAGCGTATGCCCTGTGTCTCTGTCTCTCCCTCCCGCAGTTGAAAGCTGAGGTCCTATTAATGATTTTTAGGTGGGGCAAAATTATCTCTGTCTCTGTAGTCTTTACCTTTTTTAACACAAGAACACATTTTGCTCTCTTTAAAACTCCAGCTTGGCATTGCATGCTATTATAAGTTTATGATCTACCAGAACTCCTAGATCCTGCTCCAACATTGACTTCCCCAGCTGTTCTCCCCCTAGAATTCATGATGCATGCATGTTTTTGGTTCCTATGTGCATAAATTTACATTTATCAACATTAAAACTCATGTGCCACATAGTTGCCCAATTAAATGGTTCATTGAAGTCGGCTTGTAAGTTGGACATATACTGTAAGGATTGTTTTCTACTACATAACTTGTTGTCATTTACAAACACTGAAATGGCACTTTTATTTCCAAACTCTATATTTTTTATAAATAGGTTAAAAAGTAAGGGTCCCAACACTGAACCTTTGGGTACACCAATAATAACCCACAATAACCCACAACAGTGATCAAACTGCAACCCAAAACCCACATATTTATCGCAAAGTGCCAACACTGCAATTAAACCTGAATACTGAGGTTTTAGTTTAGAAAAAACAACCCATACATTAACATCTTAAAACAAAAACATAATAACAGAGCTTCCACTGACCACCAGCACAAGGGGGCTAAGTTCCAGTGACCACCAGCACAAGGCGGCAAAATTCCACTGACCAAAAGCACAAGGAGGCAAAGTTCCACTGCCCACCAGCTCAAGGGGGCAAAGTTTCATTGACCACCAGCACAAGCTAAAATCTTGTGTCAATAAAAACGAATGTATTAAAACTCACAGCCAGTCCAATATATATATATCCTTGGCAGCGCGCTGACCGGCCATGCGAAAGTTTAGATGAGTAGCGGAATGAGTCGTGTCTCGTGATGTCATCGCCTGGTACTGCAACTCTTTTCTGGTCATGCGCGTGGCCCCTATGTGTGCTGTTATCCGATTCTTGGCTGCTGGGGCGATGCTGGGCCAACTTTGCTCGCATGCAGACAGAAAAGGCTTTGCGCGCGCCACCACTGCCCTAGACTATTCAGAGTATGAATCATTAATCTAACACATATCTAAGTGGATCCAGAATAATGTACACATTCAGGTCAAATGATATAAACACTTAATAAAACCTTCTCATTCATTCAATTTATATATTTGTTAAGACTCCTTACAAGAACAGAACAATGGACTTATACAGCGTTGGACTTTTATATTTCACATCCAAGTCAACAGTAGAGCATCGTTTCTCATTTTCAGTTACGAACATAGTTTTTAGCTTTTCAACAAACATGTTTACATAAAGAATGGTTGTTTAGTGGAATAAATATTTCCAGCACTGCTTCAACCAACCCTCAAACCTAACATTAGAGTCGCCATATATTTGACATTTAAAACATTGGTACTCTTCTGGATGTTTATATAGACTTCAGTGGTAGGGTAAAAGATCTTAGTGTTGTCAGATTTAAGGTACTATAGTGGCTCTAATGTTAGGTACCATATTTTTCGCTCCATAAGACGCACTTTTTCCCCAAAAAATGGGGGGAAATTTCTGTTCGTCTTGTGGAGTGGCCGGCCCGGTATTCCCACTGCCGCCATGTTAGAATACCGGGCCGGCCACTCGGCTCTACTGTGCAGAAGAACCCGCTCCTCGGTCCTACCTGTTCCTTGGTCCAGTGGTGTCCTGCTCTCACTGTCCGTCTTCTCTCCTTCGCACCGGCTTCTTCAGTGTGGGCACCCAGCTGTGACAACTTGCGGCTTCACAGCCTGGTGCCCACTGCACATGCGCGAGAAGCACTATGCTTTGTGAATGGCCCTGCAGTCTTCTGGGACCTGTCACGTGTCCCAGAAGACAACGGGGAGGGAGAGGGGGAAAACAACTCCGTGGAAATGGGAGCAAGTACCTGTCAGATCCATGTAATCGCCCCCCCAAAGGTCTGCAGTTTCTGGTCATCTCCTGTACTATGTCCGCAGTCTCTGGTTATCTCCTGTAGTATGACGGCAGTCTCTGGTCATCCCCTGTACTGTGTCCGCAGTCTCTGGTTATCTTCTGTATTATGTCCGCAGTCTCTGGTCATCTCCTGTACTGTGTCCGCAGTCTCTTGTCATCTCCTGTAGTGTGTCCACAGTCTCTGGTCATCTCCTGTACTATGTCCGCAGTCTCTGGTCATCTCCTGTAGTATGTCTGCAGTCTCTGGTCATCTCCTGTACTATGTCCTCAGGCTTTGGTTATCTCCTGTAGTATGTCCGAAGTCTCTGATCATCTTCTGTAGTATGTCCGCAGTCTCTGGTCATCTCCTGTACTGTGTCCGCAGTCTCTGGTCATCTCCTGTACTGTGTCCGCAGTCTCTGGTCATCTCCTGTAGTATGTCCGCAGTCTCTGGTCATCTCCTGTACTGTGGTCGCAGTCTCTGGTCATCTCCTGTAGTATGTCCACAGTCTCTGGCCATCTCCTGTAGTATGTCCGCAGTTTCTGGTCATCTGCTGTAGTACTTCTGCAGTCTCTGGTCATCACCTGTAGTATGTCCGCAGTCTCTGGTCATCTCCTGTAGTACGTCTGCAGTCACTGTACATCTCCTGTAGTATGTCCGCAGTCTTTAGTCATTTGTAGTATGTCCACAGTCTCTGGTCATCTCCTGTACTATGTCTGCAGTCTCTGGTCATCTCCTGTAGTAAGTCTGCAGTCTCTGGTCATCCTCTGTACTTTTAAAAAAAAAAGCGCTCACTTATCTTTTTACTTTATTTCCTGTACTATGTCCGCAGTCTCTGGTCATCTCCTGTACTGTGTCAGCAGTCTCTGGTCATCTCCTGTACTATGTCTGCAGTCTCTGGTCATCTCCTGTACTATGTCTGCAGTCTCTGGTCATCTCCTGTACCAGGTCTGCAATCCATTGATTCAGAATATTTTTTTCTTGTTTTTCTCCTCTAAAATCTAGGTGCATCTTATGGTCAGGTGAGTCTTATGGAGTGAAAAATACGGTATTCTAAACATCCTAGTGAGCACACCATGCCACCAGCGAACTATATTTCCAAAGAAAGCAAAAAGAAGCCAGCAATGTATCAACGTTTATCTAATGGAATAAGCAACATTTAGCAATAAAAAGGCAGTTATTGTGTACAACACACTTCAGGGGAAAAGTTGCTATATAAGTATGACACATTGCTGTAGAAAGGTGATAATATACAGCAGCACCCTGTCAGTAAGTGTATAGCAATATAGCAACACTAGATTGGTGTGTTAAAGTTAGCTTGTTTTGACATCTATATTGCTATACAATAACCTCCTAGGGAATGGGGGTCTCCAAACTCTAAACAAAGGGCCAGCTTACTGTCGTTCAGTCTTTAGGGGGGGGCAAACTGTGCCCAGTGGGGGAAATCAATTTTACATATTTGGTAGTAGTTGGAGGAATAGTGCCCCATTGTTGATGTCAGTGGGAGAAATATTGCCACATCGTTGGTGTCAATGGGAGGAATTGTGCCAGATTGTTGATGTCAGTGGAAGGAATTATGTTCCATTGCTGGTGTCAATGGGAGGAACAGTGCCCTATTGTTGGTGTCAGTGGCAGGAATAATGCCTCAAGGGTCAGATAAAGGCAAGCAAAGGGCCACATCCGGCCCCCGGTCCGCAGTTTGGAGACCACTGACCTAGGGTATATCTTTCAATTACTGTTTTTTTTTCCCATACATGCTTCTCTACACTATTTGCTGAGGGTTTATTTGTTGCTAGACACAATTCCTCTTTTTTGAAAAGTTCACTGATGTTATGGGATGAACACAAGCATTATTGAAATACCTAACAATAAAGCTGCTGCATCACTCCACATCTAACATTTAAAACATTGTGGCCCGTTTTTGGATATGTGTATATATCTCAATGGTGGGGGCAGAGATCCCATTGCTGAGTTAAATTTTTTTTACTAACAAAGTTTCAGCACTAAGAAGAATGTAAGCAAATGAATGTTAGAGCATATCTTTATTTTACTATTTCAATGTTCTGTGAGCAGGGAGTTTTATGAGCAGACTGAGGAGGGATGTAATGTCACCTGAGAATGTCAGGTGGCCAGAGACAGATGTGTTGCATTAATTACTAGCCGTATTCACTTTTAGGCTACGTTTTGATGTGCATTCCTCAAGATAGTGAGGTATTTTTGACTGGATATGGTGATATATGGGGCTTGTCCATTAGAGGATGACATTAAGGCCTGTGGATGAGTGTATTCTAATTACATATCTGTAGCAAGACAGATTATACTATCAAATTAGTTTTGTCCATGGGGTAACTTTTTCTCCTTAATAGAGATTATATATTCCATCTGATAGGTTTATGATCAAACTAATGTTTTTTTATGCAGCAACTTCATCTAGATTGGTATGTATTTGATCTGGTCTGGTGTTTTGGATGTAAGGTAAATAATTGTAATGGTATCCAGTCATATTGTTGTGCACAGTACATTCCACTCCAATAGGCACTAATTGCAGCTTAGCATACATTTTATATATATCTGAATAAAGGTTATAATTTAGATTCATCAATTGGCCAGATGGTGTTTAGGGACACACACCCTCGTCCGGTGTAGATTTGTTATTTGCCAAAGATGATGAAAACTGAAACTAACTTTCTAACTGAAAGCCTGTACAAAGGTATGGGCAGAAAGCTGGAGGGAGTGTATAGGAAACTGATATTGCACCTGAAATCCACTGATGGTGAGTGCAACACTTTGCGGGCTCCTATGTAAAAAATAAATAAACCTTTATTTTACCCGCAAAAATATGTTAATTTATTACATTTTACTAAAAGATGAACTTAGCCTTTAAAATGTAAAATTGTATTGTTTTATTCAGTAAGACTACTCACCACATTTGGGGTAGGTGATAATCAATAAGTCATCATCTCTGGCTTCAAATGTTTCCAATGCCTCAAACAACTCCTTACTGCAGATGGTGCTAGGGTACAGAACACCTTTATAATTAAACAGTAAATCCTCAGTTGATGTTTTGCTGATTTCCTGCAGTGTGTCCAGTAACATTTCCCGATCTGTTGTCTGCTTAGAGTGAGCCATGTTTCCCTATTGTGAATAATGCCTGGAATAGTCAGTAATTGTAGAGCTCCCTTTTTATACAGGCAAAGGGTGTGTTTGTACAATGTGGACAAAGATATTTACGGTCAGGTGCCAAAACTGCTCTCTCTTTTTGCCAAGGTAAAAAATATCCTATTGAAGAAATGTTATCCATCATAAATTATTATGCATTACAACATCTTTTTGTAATCAAGTATTTTTTTGTTTGAACAGTTCAATTTACATAGTTTTTATTAACCATAGAGTTTACATTAAAAAGGAGAGATTCTTTAGGATCACTTTAAAATAAGAATAGAAAAAAGGGAAGGGGAGTATTAAATAGATCAAGCTCTACATCCAATGCTTCTGGTTACCTTAATATAAGAGCGAATACACAAAATACCAGTAAAGACTTAAGACTGTCAGTCCTCTTGTGTATAAAAACTGGGGTCAATATGTTATTACAGATAGTGGGCTCCATTCACAAAGTGGTATTTTTCTCTTTAAAATTTGCAGTAAAATACCTCATAGCATTTTTCAAAATTTTTTTTGGCATTCACAAACAAACACTACAAAAATAGGGCATGCAGTAGTTCATCGAAATATGTGATATTTATATCGTGAAATCATGCGGTATTTTATCTTATGCGATATGCAATGGGATGGAAACAGTGGACAAGAATTAGAAACCTTATCGGTGTTTATTGCTAAGAAATAGCTAAAATGGTTTAAATCATAGAAATATGCCAGCTCACTAAGTCAGTGCAATCCCTGCAGTGCACTATATGTATTAATAAAAAGGAAAAAAGGTGACTAGAATACTAGTCAAAGGGAAAGTGCTTTCACAGAACACCCATGGTGTATCAAAAACAACTGATTTAAATTAGGTAAATATATATATATATATATATATATATATATATATATATATATATATATATTTCTAAGTGTCAAATGAATAAACATAGATTAAAAAATCACACACATATATAAACACCCTTCTTCTACAACGTTGTCTTTTTTATTGGTGGAAGAAGGGTAATTATAGAAATGTGTGTGATTTTTTTTTAATACTATTTTCTTTCAATATCTGACATTTAGAAAGATATTTTGTATTTACTTAATGTATATCTAAAAAACTGTTGTTTTGGATAGAGTGAAGAGGTATTAGAACACCTATTAGATTTTTATATTGCTGTCCCTTCCCCCCGTTAGGGAGATTCACCCTCTCTATTCATCCTGTTTACCATTATCATTAAAAGTGAAATGAAAAGAAAATCTAAAATTTGGGGTTCTCCCCATAAAAGTAATAGAGGGGACATCTTCCAATGGGGCCACATATGGCAAGAAATTAAAAAAAACTCACAGGGGTTATAACCCTCCATTACTCTATCCAAAATGAGAAAAAAGTGCTGCCCATAGTTACACTTTCAAACAGCCTTTTTCAACCCTTTCAACACAGAGGAACCCTTTCAATATTTTTACAGTCTCTAGAAACCCCTACTAAAAATTACTGTATCTGCAGCTCATGATACATTGGTGTGATGGTCAGTGGAAAGAATTACCAACTTATACTGTAGATACACTATATTGCTAAAAGTATTGGGACACCTGCCTTTACTCGCACATGAACTTTAATGGCATCCCAGTCTTAGTCTGTAAAGTTCAATATTGAGTTGGCCCACCATTTGCAGCTATAACAGCTTCAACTCTTCTGGGAAGGTTGTCCACAGGGTTTAAGAGTGTGTCTATGGGAATGTTTGACCATTCTTCCAGAAGCGCATTTGTGAGGTCAGGCACTAGTGTCGGACAAGAAGACCTGCTTCACAGTCTCTGCTCTAATTCACCCAAACGGTGTTCTATCAGGTTGAGGGCATGCCAGTCAAGTTCTACCACCCCAAACTCGCTCATCCATGTCTTTATGCACCTTGCTTTGTGCACTGGTGCGCATTCATGTTGGAACAGGAGGAGCCATCCCCAAACTGTTCCCAAAAAGTTGGGAGTATGAAATTGTCAAAAATGTCTTGGTGTTCTGACACGTTAAGAGTTCCCTTCACTGGAACTAAGGGGCCAACCCCTGAAAAACAACCCCACACCATATTCCTCCCTCCACCAAACTTTACACTTGGCACAATGCAGACAGGAAAATAACGTTCTCCTGGCAACCGCCAAACCCAGACATGTCCATCAGATTGCCAGACAGAGAAGTGTGACTCCCCACTCCAAAGAACATGTCTCCACTGCTCTACAGTCCAGTGGTGGTGTGCTTTACACCATTGCATCCGATGCTTTGCATTGCACTTGGTGATGTAAGGCTTGGTTGTAGCTGCTTAGTCATGGAAACCCATTCCATGAAGCTCTCTACGCACTGTTGTTATGCCAATCCTGATGGCCACATGAAATATAGAGGTCTCTACCTATTGACTCTGCAGACAGTTGGCAACTTCTGCGCACTGTGCGCTTCAGCATGTGCTGATCCTGCTCTGTCATTTACATGACCTTTCTGTTCCCAGTTGCTTCCACTTTGTTATAATACCACTTACAGGTGACTGTGGAATATTTAGTAGCAAGGAAATTTCACGGATGTACTTATTGCACAGGTGGTATCCTATCCCGGTACCACACTTGAATTCACTGAGCTCCTGAGAGCGACCCATTCTTTCACAAATGTTTGTAAAAGCAGTCTGCATGCCTAGGTGCTTGAATTTATATACACCTGTGGCCATAGAGGTGATTGGAACATCTGAATCCAATGATTTGGAGGGGTGTCCCAATACTTTTGGCATATAGTGTTGCTAAAAAGATCAATGATGACAGTGGGAACTTGTCAGTGAGAAGATATCTCTAAAAATAATTGTGTGGAAAGTATCCCCACTACACATGACTTATGTTCTAACAAGAGATTAGACCATTGTGATATGCACATACAGTACATTGTATTATGTCTGGAGTGATTGGGAGATTTTGCAGCAAATGATGTATATGCTTGTATATTCAGAAAAAAAAAGTCTAAAAATCTGACGAAATGACAGGAGAAAATAAGTATATTTTACTACTTGTAATGGGGTGGATTTACTAAAGGCACATAAAGTGAACACTCTGTAAGTGAAGTTGCTCCAGAACTTAGTAAGCGAGGAGCTCTGCTGACTTCCATCATCCAATCATGTGCAAGCAAAAATGCTGTTTTTTCCCTTGCGTGTGATTGGGTATTCTTTGTAGAGTGAAGCTTTACCTCATGTACTAAGCTCTTGCAAATTGTACAGTCTATTTGCTTTAAAGTAAAATAATGGACAACACCTTTTTTCATTTTGGATAGAGTAATGGAGGGTTATAACCCTTGTCAGTTTTTTTTTTTAATTATTTGCCATTTGTGTCCCCATTGGAAAATGTCCCCTCTATTACTTTTATGGGGACAATGCCAAATTTGGGATTTTCTTTTCATTTCATTTTCAATGATAATGGTAAACAGGACAAATAGAGAGGGTGAATCTCCCTAAGGGGACACAGGCAACAATAAAAACCTTACAGGTGTCCTAATCTGCCTCCACTCTATCCAAAAGTAAAAAAATATATATAGAAATCATATTTAAGTTTCTGTGTATTACTGTTGAGAGAACTGACCCAAAAAGGCAGAAACTACTCAAAATTGCTATTATATTTTTACATTTCTTAAATACTGCATGCCTGGACCACTACTTAATGATTGCATGCATTCAGTTATTTATTTCCTTCTGTGAATTGAATTTAATGCTTTTCCATGCAGTATTTACTGAGAGTTTTGCAGTAAACATCGCAAAAATGTATAGTGAATTGACATTTTTCAGGATCACATGCAATCAGTCTTGGACTAGGGCATAACATAGGCCCAGGCATTTTCAGCCAATTTGTCCAGCAACCGCAGGGTGTTTGCGGGGGAGGTTGGTAATGAGATATTCATGGTCGGTCCTCTGCACTGTAATAAGGGACACTGTAATGATTACAGTGCAGTTCCCTTTACATCACAGTCCCCCTGTACATTACAGTTCCCCTAGCAATCACAGCCCCCCATCACAGTGCCCCTTGCAGTCATGCCCCCCCTTTTCTCTCTAATCACTGTGCTCCCTTTTACTCTCTGCCTTTCCTGCACAGTTGTACCTTCGGCAGGGCAAAGGCAGGATTCAGCCTGTGTCTCCTCTCCCGGCCCCCGCTTCACCAACAATGTCATCCTAACAGCAGAGCAGGGAGTTGGAAGAGCTGCAGATACAGATCACATTAAAGTGCAGGTGATTACCCACTTGTTAATATGAAAATATCCCCAGCTCCTCCCGCCCCCTGCTCTGCTGATAGGATCAGATCTATCTAAGTAGATCACTCTCTCTTTATACATGGGATTCCTCTCTATATATCAGATCTCTTCATGTATCAGACCTTTCTCTCTTTTCTTTGTATAGTAGTTTTTGCTCTACCTGTATAGGGGATTGCTCTGTATAGCTGATATATCCATGTATCTTGACGGTCCTTTCTGTATGCATAGTAGATTTCTCTGTATAGATGATCTCTCCATGTATCGGAACTCTGTATTTATGAATAGTAGATCTCTCTATCTATGGGACCCCTCTCTGTAGATGAGATCTCTCTGTGATTTGGATTTCTGTCTCTCTATATAGTAGATCTTTCCCAATCTCTTTCCCAATCTCTCTCTGTATATGGGATGTCTCTGTACAGTAGATCTCTGTATACAGATATACACCCTATTCCAAATTAATATGCAAATTCTATTTAAGTGTCACAAAGATTAAATATTTTGTTTTTCAGTTTAACTCATGGATGGCATTGTGTGTCAGGACTCTTTTGATCACTGAGCACAATCTCGGACACCTATGATAATTAGATTGGCAGGTGAACCCAATTTAAGGAAAAACTACTAAAGGAGGGTGTTCCACATTATTAAGCAGAGCACCATTTTCAAGCAATATGGGGAAGAAAAAGGATCTCTCTGCTGCCGAAAAGAGTGAAATAGTTCAATGCCTTGGACGAGGTATGAAAACATTAGATATTTCATGAAAACTTAAGCGTGATCATCGCACTATTAAGAGATTTGTGGCTGATTCAGAGCACAGACGGGTTTGTGCAGTTAAAGGCACATTGAGGAAGATTGAGCAAGATCCATGCATCTGATCAAGAGAGCAGCTGCTAAAATACCATTACATAGCAGCAAACAGATATTTGAAGCTGCTGGTGCCTCTGGAGTCCCACGGACATCAAGGTGCAGAGTCCTCCAGAGTCTTGCAACTGTACATACACCTTCTATTCGGCCACCACTAACCAATGCTCACAAGCAGAAACGGCTGCATTGGGCAGAAAAATACATGAGGACTAATTTTCAAGCAGTCCTGTTCACTGATGAGCGCCGTGCAACCCTGGATGGTCCAGATGTACGGAGTAGTGGATGGTTGGTGGACTGCCACCCTGTTCCAACAAGGCTGTGACATCAGCAAGGCGGTGTTGGAGTCATGTTTTGGGCCGGAATCATGGGAACATAGCTAGTCAGCCCCTTTAGGGTCCCCGAAGGTGTAAAGATGACTTCTGCAAAGTATGTGGAGTTTATGACTAACCACTTTCTTCCCTGGTACAGAAGGAAGAACTATGCTTTCCGTAATAAAATCATCTTCATGCATGACAATGCTGCAAAGAATACCTCCGCATCAATGGCTGCTATGGGGATAAAAGGAGAGAGAGAAAGTAATGGTGTGGCTCCGTCCTCCCTTGACCTCAATCCTATTGAGAACCTTTGAAGCATCCTCAAGCAAAAGATCTATGAGGGTGGGAGGCAGTTTACATCCAAACAGCAGCTCTGGGAGGCTATTCTGACATCTTGCAAACAAATTCAAGCAGAAACTGTCCAAAAACTCACAAGTTCAATCGATGCAAGACTTGTGAAGCTGCTATCAAATAAGGGGTCCTATGTTAAAATGTAACGTGACCTGTTAAAATATTTAAAAAGTTAAAATGTTGTTAAAAGTTTGATTGAAATAGCTTTTGATTTCCGTAAATATGCTGCAAAACACAACAAATTACAGTTTTCAGTTCTTTACAACCTATAAAGTGTTTTGAAACTAACTGTGCATAATAATTTGGAACAGTGCATTGTAAGTTTTTTATGTTTAACAAAAATACTGTTATCATTAGGAGGTTTGTTCAATAAAATTTGAATTGTACTCTTAATAGTTGATAACATGAGAATTATGCTGACTGTTATTTACATCAATTATTTAGGTAAATAAGAAAAATATCATTTGCATAATAATTTGGAACACGGTGTATATCTCTCTCCTTCTATCTCCCTTTCTTCTTCCCCCCCATTTCTCTCCTTGTATCTCCCCCTCTCTCTCTGTATGGTAGACCTCTCTTTCACACTCTTGGGGCCCCCGGGGCTCTCCCTGTACCTCTAAAAAGTGTTTCTGTCTCTCTGTCGAACATGTGTAGTCGCTTCATAGCCAGGCTGGGCATGGTGCGGCCCCTGAATGCTCCTCCCTGAGTGTCAGTCCAGACCTTCCTCGCTCCCTAGTCCTTCCATTCAGCAGAGTGGCCAGCTGAGCACTGTTCTGGGGGATCAGGGCTGGATCAACTTGGGGGGATCATTTCTGATGACTCCGGCTCTCTGTGCAGCTCTCCAGCTCCTCCCACAGTGGGGCGGGACAGCAGAGAGAAGAGACACTGGCACAGCTGCATAGTGGGAGGTGAGAGGCAACCATGGTCTGGGTTAACCCTCTCCGGACTGCAGTTGCCACTTATCTACTGCTGTGCGGTCTGGTAATCAACAGGCCACGCAAACCGGGGGTGGGCCCAGTGGCCTCAGCCCACTGGGAAAGTGCCCGGTATGCCCTATGACCAGTTCAGGCCTGCATGCAATATTTAGGCAAAATGTGTCAATTACATACCGCATGTGATTACTCTTGTGAATGGAGCCCATTATCATTGATGGTATTTTATGTTTCTAATTATCAGAATATATTGCATGTAATGGGCATTGTTAATTCTGCAGTATCTTAATATAATAATCTATTGAACTAAGCCCTAATTGTAAATCATCATCTTTGGCAAATAACAAATCTGTACTGGACGATGAAGTGACAGCATACAAAGACACACTGTAGTTTGATCAAAAGCCTATCAACTTGAATATATAATCTCTGTTAAGCAAATGGAGTTACCCCATGGACAAAACTAATTAGATAGTATAATCTATCTTCCTACAGATATGTAATACGGGTACACTCATCCACGGGCTTAAAAGTCAGCCTCTCATGGATAAGCCCCATTCGTCACCATATCCCTCCTAGATTGTAAGCTCCAAGGAGCAGGGCCCTCCTATACCTCTTGTATTGAACTGTAGTGTTGCTGTATTGTCTCCCGTTATATTCTAAAGCGCAGAGCAAACTGTTGGCGTTATATAAATCCTGTATAATAATAATAATTGTAATATCCACTCAAAAATACTTCACTGTCTTGAGGAATGCAAATATGCACTGTAAAACGCAGTACAGACCTCTCCAAAATAAATTGGGGAGAGGAGTGAATACCATGTGCATTAAAAATGTGCTCCCAAAGAATGACCCAAAGAAAAAAAGAAACTCTACATTTTTTGTTCCAGAAAACAGTGCTTCGTCAGCAGTATAAAGAATTAAAATAGGTCACATAGTGGCTAGAAGTTGTGCTCGGCTGCACATGGTGGCA